ATCAAAAGAAAATGGAGGAACTTAAAGTCTGCCATATGTTTTCCCCAGTGGAACTGAGTGCCAATGAGTCTGCCATGGGCACAGGCAGAGTTGTGCTAGGAGGACCATGGAGAAACATCTGAGGTCGATTTAAAATTCCTCTCTGAGAATTGCCAGAGTCCGGTGGGCAGAACTGGACCTGCAATTTTCTAGGCGACCCTGGCGACCAGATAAAGCCCTGGAATTCAAAACAATGAGTTTATCTTCCAGAGAGACTGCAGCTGGAGAGCTCTGGGGTTGCCAAGAGATGGAAGGTGAATAGATCAAGGTTCTCACAGGGGACAAAGTACTAATGTCCAATTACCAGAAATAGGAAGAAAAAGCATCTTTCATGTTGTGTTATGAGGTGGCCAGATTACTCATTAGCCAAACTAGGATATTTTTTCGGAGGGCAAGGGTGTTCAATTACCCTGTGGCAACATATATAGGCTGGGACTTGATCTGGGAAATGGGAGGTCAGGTCAGAAATAAACAGAGGAACGTCTTCCTCAAGAGCCCCGGTTGGGAGAGGTGCCCTCCAGGACATACCTGCGTCTCATCAGAGAGCAGTTATTGCATAAACCAGGAGCTGCCATAGTGCAGAGCACCGTTCTTCAGAAAGAATAGCTCCATGTGTGTTCAGAACGTTCCCTGAGGCTCGGGGAGGCTTTCTTACCACCACGCACACAAAATCTTCTTTCATTTCGGTCTCTGAGGTTCTAATTAAGAGAATACATCTCTTCCACTCTCTTCACTCCTACCTCTCTCCCCTTCCAAATTCAGCTGATCTGTGGGCTGTCTTAACAACCATAACTTGATCCTGATGTCAGTCTCTTATCCAACTCCTCCTGGCTCACTACATCCAGAATTTCCCCAAATCCCCCTCTGAATTTGGCTTCTGCTGATTATTTGTTATTCAAAATCCGTCTACTTATTTGTCCACACTTAATTTGGTTTTGTTTGAGATTACTGATAAGTCCACACAGTCCTGGAACATTTATGGTGAAACTTCAAAATCCTTAACATAAGTGACCTTGTGGTTAGCATATTTGGGCAAAATCCTTAACATAAGTGACCTTGTGGTTAGCATATTTGGGCATAAAAAGCTCAGTATTTTACAAGCATTATCTGACTTAATTTTTACCCCAATCCTATAAAGTCCCCCAATTTGCAGAAGATGAGGCTCAGAATGGCCAAGTAACATAACACAGAGCTGAAAGGGTTCAAATCCAGAACTGTCTCCAAAGCCCCTGTTTTCAACCATGATGCTATACTGTAAAGAATGTCAATATTCTTCTCTCAGGATAATATAAAGGGAAACCATCCTCACTGGATCAAAGCTGGGAGGGCTCTTGCAGATGATAAAATCCAAATACTTGACTGTATAGATGAATGGAAGTGGGTGGGATGAGAGGAAGCAACTTTTTCCATCGATTGAGTGGGTGTAGAAGAGGTGGGTGATTGCTTATTCAGCATCCATTCTCCCATCTCCACCTTCCTAAGGGAATCCTGCTTTTGTTTAGGTCTTCTCTATGCGATCATGTATTTCAAGGGAAGCTGGCCCATCTTCAGTCCAAGAGGATGAGTCATGACTGGTCTAATCTATCATGATGACCTCATTCCCCTCACGCTGACTGCATTATGCAGGGCAGATGACACCATTTTGGCCAATGACACATGAGGAAATCCACTGAGGGTCTTTGGGGGAAGGTTTCCTCACTTCTAAAAAGAGCTGCAGGAAGACAGCTGAAGATATCTATGAACCTCAGGCAATTCTCCTGATGGAGGGAGAGGAGCTATGAACACTTCCATTATTTACTACTTACTGTGTCAGTTTTCTTACTAGGTCTTTCCAAAAATGATCTCCTCTTCTCAGAACAAAATAGCAAGACAGGTTTTATCATATTCATTCATGGATGAGGAAACTCAGATCTAATAGCAGTTAAGTCATTCAGTGGTTAATTGGTAGATTCAGGATACAAGTTCATAAATGTATGGCTTCAAATTTATCATGCTTTGTAGTAGCTCTTTTCATACTCGAATAAATAGATTTATGTTAGTCTCCAAAAGGACATTCCCCTCTATGTGCCCGGTGGAGTTAGGTTCTCTGAGTCTGCAGAACTCTGCACCCTCAAAGGCTTGTCCAGTGGAGTCAGATAGTCCCTCCAGCTGATACCTGTCTGATGGTCCTCTGAAATGACAACAGCCTAGAGGTGTGCGTGTGATCAAGGAGGTGCAAATCATTCCATTTGGCTGGCTCTGGGGACATGACTGCGAAGCTCCTTTTGTCATGTCTAATGTCTTGCTGTCGACTTTGAATCTCTTGGAGATTCTGGCATGAGTTAGCCATGGTCACAGTGAACGGTAGAAAACACCAAGTGAGGGGCGCCTGGGTGGCCCAGTTGGTTAAGCGACTGCCTTCAGCTCAGGTCATGATCTCAGGGTCGTGGGATCGAGCCCCGCATCAGGCTCCCTGCTCGGCGGGAAGCCTGCCTCTCCCTCTGACCCTCCCCCTGCTTGTGTTCCCTCTCTCGCTGTCTCTCTCTCTCTGTCAATTAAATAAATAAATAAAATCTTAAAAAAAAAAAAACCCACGAAGTGATTGTTGCTTTGTACAACTGAAGCAACTGGTTTGTTTGCTTTCTTGGCTGACTTAATTCAGCTGACCAGTATAAGACCGATTTTACTTCTTTTAGAAAAAGCCATGCAAACCTCTCCAAATAAAGATAAAAAGGCCTGCCTAACAGGGCTGTAGAAGGAACCAATGAGTTAATTTCCCTAATACAGCTTTGGTCACATGGTAAGAAACAAAACAGGCTAGTTCCCTAATTCCCCATTTTCCTCTTTGCTTCCTTTAAATCTTTGCTCTATGACTATCTTCTCAATGAGATATGATATGAGGTTAAAAAGGAAGATATGATTCAGATTGGAACAGGGATTATGGGTAGGCTCTGGAGAAGTGAGATTTCAGCTGGGATTTTATAATGAGAGGCATTCGCTGGTAAATGGCAGGGGTAAGAGTATTTGGGAAGAAGGATGTAACAGCATGTGCCAAGATGTCAAGACAGAAGCCACTGGCATGTCTCTATCTAAAATGACCACTGTAGGGGCGCCTGGGTGGGTCAGTTGGTTAAGGGACTGCCTTCAGCTCAGGTGATGATCCTGAAGTCCCGGGATTGAGTCCCACATTGGGCTCCCTGCTCAGCAGGGGGTCTGCTTCTCCCTCTGACCCTCTTCCCTCTCGTGCTCTCTGTCTCTCATTCTCTCTCTCTCTCTCTCAAATAAATAAATAAAATAAAATCTTTAAAAAAAATAAAAAAAAATAAAATGACCACTGTGGGGACTCCTGGGTGGCTCAGTTGGTTGAGCATCCAACTCTTGGTTTTGGCTCAGGTCATGATCTCCGGGCCATGAGATCAAGCCCCACGTCAGGCTCCGGGCTCAGTGTGGAGTCTGCTTGAGAGCCTCTTCCTCTGCCCCTCCCCCCACTTGCATGCACTCTTTCTCTCTCTCAAATAAATAAATAAATAAATAAATACATCTTTTAAAAAATAAATTAAATGACCATGGTGGTGGGGCTGTAGTGAGTCAGGAGGAATGTGGCATGAGATGAGACTGAAGATGTAGGCAGGCTCAAGTCCCACAGGGCACTGTAGGCCACGTTCTGCATTTCAGATTGTTCCCTAATTCACATGGCAGCCCAATGCAGACTTCTAAGCAAAAGAGTGATCTGCTGTGTGGAAAACAAATTGGAGAAAGGCAGGAATGTAAACAGAGAGCAGTTAGGAGACTTCTGCAGTGGTCCAGATGAGGGATGAGGGCTTGAACTAGAGTGATGACAGTGAAGATGCTGATAAATGGGCATACTTGAGACATATTTTATAGAAGGGAAAAGTATGGCTTGTTGATGGATGCAGAAGGTGAGATGTGGGAGGCATGAAGGATCCTTGGCAGTTTCTGGAATGAGTAACTGAATGGACGGAGGCATCATTACCTAAGATGTGAAGCACAGGAGGAAAAGCAGTTTTAGGAGAGAAGATCAAGGTTCAGTTTTTGACAAGTTAAATGTGAGATGCCTGTAGGATATTCAAGTGGGGATGTCAAACGGGAAGATAGGCATATGGTTCCGGAGCTCAGAAGAGTCTGTGTAGAAATACAAATTTGCCAAAATAGAGGATATCGGAAGTCATTATTGTTGTTGGCTGTAGTATGGGTTTTTGTTTTTGTTTTTTTAATGTCTGGCTGACCTTGTACTAGTTTTTTTGGCTTCTCTCTTAAATACCTGAACCTATGGTTCTTGTTACATCTTTTAGTCTCCTATCTCAATTATCTACTTTGATGGTTTCTTTCTAATCACATTGTAAAGGCAGAGCACTGCAATAGAAAGATGTAGATTCTATTTGTGTGCCTTGGGCAAATCACTTAGGTTCTCTAGGTATTAGTTTCTCATCTGTAAAAGAAAGGTATTGGTTGTTTTCAGTTTAAAAAAATCTATGATTCAGTAATCTAAGAATTACCCATAAGGTGTATCTACTTTTCTAAACCCACAAAGGATTCATGGTTGGACCATTGGGAAATTAGCTTTGATTAGATCTTGAAAGATATTCTGAAGTCCACATCATGTCCAGCAATTAACAGTTAAACCAAACACTGTTAATGACAATCTCAGATACTATTGCTGTAATTTGAACAGCGTTTCTTCTGCACTTGTGGATACAGCATATAGAAAAAGAGTGGAAATTCAGACATTTATTCATCAAAATAACATCAAGTTTTAATCGAAGACGAACTTGTCTTATTGAAAATTCCTACCGGAATGGGCACTCTTCAAGTGAAGTTAGGAGTAATGCAAATATCATGGTGAGTTCTAGTAGATGTAATAGCCTAGATTATTGACCACAGGACACATGTAACAGCATTTCTTCATAGTCTTCAAGGTAAAGCAATACAAAGCATCAACATGATCAGCACTTTTTCCTTACCTCAGTGACAGCAAAGCTTCTCTTTCCACAGGGAACCACCTTGTACCACTTGTCATGCAACACATCCATAAACCCATGTGACTTGTATTGACTGATTAGCTCGGATATATTGGAGGTCAGTGGAGAGTTGGGTGGGAGACCAATGCCATACCCTAGAAGAAAATATAATCTGAGATCAGCTTTTCATCTGAGAGGATCCTAAGGGGTGTCACCACACTTGTGTGATATTGCCATCAGCTCTGGTACCAAGGGTAGGGTAAGCTTTCAGCATCTTTCCTTCTTCAAAGGACTCAGAGAGGTCCAAGGTATGATTACTATGCATCTGCTGCCAGGCGCCTCGGTGGCTCAGTTGGTTATGCATCTGCTGCCTTTCTGAGTAGAAGAGATGAATCTGGAAAGGAGAGAAATGGGCTGTGCACTGTGTTCCAGTGGTACACTGTATTCCAAGATAATTTTGAGATGATACCTTTGAAGCCTTTACCAGGACTAGGATTCCCTATGCACCTCTCCTAGAATCCCTCCTCTGAACCTTTAACACACAAAACTGGATTAAATATAATCTCTGGTTTATGACATTCTCTCATCATTGGTCATGCATCACCCTCTTTTACTTTTGTCAGTTTTTTAAAATTATTATTATTTAAGACCTTTATTAATGGGTGCTTGCTGTTTGTTGACTTTTCTGAAAAAAATCAAGTTGTAAACTTTTATGACAAATTAAAAATGAGGTTCTTAAAAATCTCAACTTGACCAGATATGAAACAATTTAAAAACCTTTAAAGGTGTTTTGAGAAAAACCAGGCATTTTTTTTTAAACACGTTTGTCATTACCAAAAAGAGACGTTTTTAGGTAAAAATAATAAAAATCCCATGCTGCATAGATAATGCAGATAGTTCTATTTATCTGGTCAATGGGCAAAAAGCAAGCACTTAAGGTCTTCAGCTCCAATCTTTTGTTCATTTCTTATTGCTGGAATTTCATCCAACACGAAGAAATGAAGATGAAATTCCAGCAATACTTTTGTCAGTTTTTTAATAATGAGACCATGTGAACATACAGTATATAGCATGAGAATTAAAACATCCACAAAAACTTGTTTCCCCCCCAAAAAAAAGAGTCTGGTATGACCAAGTGTGGGAGAAAATGTAGGTCCATAAGATCACTTATATGTTGCTTCTATGAATACAAATTAATATAATCATTGTGGAAAATAATTTGCTATTTTTTTTTAAGATTTTACTTATTTATTTGACAGAGAGAGAGAGGGAGAGACAGAGCACAAGCAGGGGGAACAGCAGCGTGAGGGAGAAGCAGGCTCTCCGCGGAGCAGGGAGCCTGACGCGGGGCTCGATCCCAGGACCCTGGGATCATGACCTGAGCTGAAGGCAGACGCTTAACAATCTGAGCCACCCAGGTGCTCCAAAATAGTTTGCTATTATTTTGTATAGTTGAACACTTATATGCTCTAAGACCAATAATTTTAAGTACATTTCTAAAGAGCTCCTCTACAAACACACCAGGAGATATGTACCAGAATGTTCTTAAAGGCACTGTTCATAATAGTAAAAATTTGGAAACAACTCAAATGTTCTTTGACAAGAGAATGGGTAAATAAATTGTAGAATACTACATAATTGGAATAGTATATAGTGTGAAACATATGAATTAGAATTACATGGGATACTATGGATGACTCCAAGCAATCCTGAGTAAAAAAGATCAGTCCCAGATGATTACAGCATGAATCCATTGTGTAAATGTAAACACATTCAAAACGAAATAGTATATTTTTAGGAATACATATGTATGTGGCAAAAGTAAAGTTAGAAGAAAAGCAAGGAACTAATAAGCCAAATATCCAGGACAGTGGTTATTTAAGGCAAGAGAGGCAGGGGAAAGGATGAAGGAGGAGCACAAAGGGGGATGTAATGTGTTGTCAGAGTTTTTTTTTTTTTTTTAAAGATTTTATTTATTTATTTCAGAGACAGAATGAGAGATAGAAAGCATGAGAGGGAAGAGGGTCAGAGGGAGAAGCAGACTCCCTGCCGAGTAGGAAGCCCGATGTGGGACTCGATCCCGGGACTCCAGGATCATGACCTGAGCCGAAGGCAGCTGCTTAACCAACTGAGCCACCCAGGCGCCCTGTTGTCAGAGTTTTATTAATCACCTGGACTATGTACCCTCGCTCTATGTGGCTTTACTTCCTTCCCAAACTGTTAATTCACTGTTAAGCTCTTTGACGAGCCATGTGAAAGAGCTAATTAACTACATTTTGTCTTTAGCTATTGGACAGCGGAGTCAAAAAAAGATATTTTGAGGAAGATAAATTAGGAGTATAGCTTGTTCTTTTTTCACTGATCAAAACTAAAAGGCTGTCAAGAATTCAAAGATACTTCATAAAAACAAATACTTGCTCTAATTATTCTACCTTACAATTTATTTCCAAGGACATTAGTTTTTGTTCCATTTTTTATTGTGTGTACACAAATCCTTTTTTTTAAAAAAAATGAGGCCTGAGATGTGTTTATAACCAATAAAAGAGAAGAAATAAATAATGCAGAATACATTTTTGAGTTTTAAAGAGCTGTATGGTTTTTTTTTCCCCCCTGATAATTTTGTTTGTTCCCTAACAATGGCAAGCCAGGGAAGTGATGACAATGTCAAGAGCATGATTAGAATTTTCCATTCAAAGAGCTATTTTGAGTGCCTACTTTGTGCCTAGTAGTTTGGCTTGAAAAGCAAGACCAACAATAAAAAACTTTACATAGGCAGCCTGTTCTTCTGCTGATGTTATCATTAAATAACATTTTTTATAATGGGTAACTAACCATAAGGAAGTAACCAGTTTTCTTTAGAAACTTTTATTATAATGAATGCTATTGACAACTCAGCTGCAAGTTCATTCTTTCAGTACTTATTTACATGTCAGGCACAACACTAGTCATGTGTATAGTAATATTCAATGACTTACTGACTCATGCATTCATCACTCACTCATTCAACAAATATTTACTGAGTGACTAGGCACTGTGTTAAGTGATCAGGATTTAGCAGTGAGCAAGACAGATACAGGCCCTGCCATCATTGAGTGTATACGTTATTATTGCACTATGTAATGATTATTTCATTACAAGTGAGATAAATGCCATGAGAGAGAAGAACTGGGGCATATATAACATAGAGTAGGAGGACTTGGAACTATCTGATGGAAGTGGGTTGATCTTCAGGATAACCAGACCAGGTTTGCTGAATATTACTGTATTTCCCCCCTGAGGCAATAATTTTCAACAACAATTTCTGATATGTATTGAGAGATTACCATATACTATGTGCTATAATAAACTTTGTATGTACCTTATCCCATTTTGTAGATCATGCAACTAGACTAAGATTGTACACTAGACTGTGGTATGTAGTTGAGTTAAATCACTCTGGAAATTTAATTAACAAGAACTAGAACATATTGAGTCCTACTGTGTACCAGATAATATCCCACACGTGTCTAATCCCTATAAGAATTTACGCATGATATGTATTACTTTAGGACTTAAAGAGTGAATAATAAACTGCCCAAGGTCACACAGCTCGTACATGGCAAAGCTAGCATTTGAAAGTAGGTCTGTTTGAGTCTAAAACCAATTCTCTTTCCACTGTGTCCAGAGTAGCATGTGACCAAGACAAGGGAATACTTGGCCTATTTCCTCCCCTCCAACACAGGCTCTATCACTACAATCCTGTTGACGTAATCTCCCGAAACCAGGCAATTCAGTAAAGAAACCACAATCATCTAAACTGACAGTTGGTTTTCAGCAGACAAAATACATATTATTCATGGGCAAATTTTGTTTATAAACTTTTCAGTAAGTTGTAGAAATAAAGTGTAAGTACTGCCCTACCTGGTACATGATATTACATAGAAGAGAAATTAACTAGCAAGGACACCCCCTGACTATATTGTTTCTTCTAAAAATTGTCTCAAAGCCAACAATTCCAGCCCAGCTTAGTGTAATAATGGCAGAAATGTTTTCATTTGATACGCACTTATTGCACACCTATTCATCTATTCATTAATTCCACAAACATGTGTTGAATGCTTATTCTGTGCCAGATACCCCGCCAAGGACTCTAGAGGTTTCCAAGTTAACTCAGACACCAATTCTATCCTTATGAAGCTATGGGAGCGATGAGGCAGACATAAATAACTAGACAACATGGGAGAAAGTTACAGTACTTTTCTGGAAAACAAGATAGATGATGCATAAATTCAATAAAGGTCAAATATGAAAACTAGATGCAATGAGGAGGATGGATACAACTTTATGGAGTTCAGAGGAATGAGAACTTGCTACCCAATGGGAGGATGAGAGGAGGCATCTTAGATTGATTCTTGATAGTGGCATTTGGGGTAGATGAGACAGAAATATGTGATGCAAAGTTTAAAAAACTGGAATTAATACTTATGATAAATCTATGTAATTCTAAGAATAGAATTTTTGGCACTACAACGAAAGTATTAAAAATGCCTTAGGGAAAAAGCTATGTTGAAGTTGCAGGGACATTTATAAAAAATTGCTACATAGGAAATAATAAATATTAAATCACTCTACTCCATCACGTCAAGGTTAATTTGCAATTGACTGCTAAAAATAGATTACTGTCCTTTTAAATTCTCTATTTTAATACATATATTGAGTATTGACATTTAAATGATTATTAGCATCAATAATTATTATGAGCTAATTAAAACAAACTATGCATATAGAACAAGGGGAGAAATTTCTCATAGGAAAAAAAGTTATGTGGTGATTAGATGAGGTATTTGTTAAAAGACATAAAAATCCATTTTATTCAGAAACATAAAATAGTAAAACTTTGAAGGTTTCATTTCTGTCCTCTTTATCAGTTGCTTTTCAAATTTGATTGTGTTCATTGGTCAAAGAATTCTTATTTTTAAATTGCTGACTCAACCTAGCAGCTTGAGTTGCTTTCATTATCATTAGAAACGTGGCTTTGCAATAAAGACGAGGTTGACTATTTTGTGGTTGATGGATGAAGCAAAATGGAATCCTTCAACCCTAAAGATGAAGGCATCAGGCACCCTGGAAATTGGATACAGCTTAATAGCCCAAGAGAACAATTTTCAGAACAGAATCCTGATCTTTTCCCCATGGATAAATCAGCTTTACTCAGCTAAGAGTGGGGGAAATATATTTTGGCTAGCAAATGTATAGTTGGAAATTCACAGACTAAAAGAATCTTCCTGAAATGTAGTTGGGTAATAGATATTTTGAAAATTAGATCTTAGATAGGGTTAAAAAGGCTTCAGGAAAGAAAGATTAATTCATTTTTGCTGTTTGTCCTTGGAATATCACATTTAGCTACTCTGGGGCAATTGTTGAGAACATATTGTAATAGTCCCAACTGTAGAGTAGACTTTAAAAATGGGTTTCCCTTACCCCCAGCACATGAGAGTGGAAGAGAAGTGTGTGGGAGAAGCTGAGATATGTGAGGGCTATCTATCCTAGGATAATTTTCTGGGGAATCAGTCTCAGTCTATTAATTCAATATACTGAATAATAAAAATTTACTGGGCACTCCGTGCTTGTCCATGCTTCACATGCATTATTTCACTTAACCTTCACAACTCCACTCTAGATGTGGTATTCATAGACCCATTATGCAGATGAGGGCCCTGTAGAACAGATAAAATGACTTGTCCCATGGGGCACAGTCAGTAACAGCAACTCTATTCTCACCCAAGCACTCAGACTCCAGAGCTAGTGCTCCAAGCACTGTACTAAATAATTAGTGGGAAGCAAGTAAAAGAACAAACTCAAAAAACAGGCAAAGATCTTTGGCAGAAAGGTCACAAATCATTACCATGCTGTTCCATTACTCTTTCTTCCCGTTTGACCTTTATTGTCAGCTAACCCCAAGGCACAAATTTGGGACATGTATTCATTTATCTTAACACTTTCTTTTTTTCCAGAGCACACTATACATCTTTGTGTCCCTGGTATATGGCATTTAACATGACGAAAGACTTTCCACAGGCTTCTGAATTCTGAAGTTTCCATTTGCTGTGCTGAGTCCTCAGGAAAAGGTTTCAAACTCAAAGTGGAGCCACTGGCTCACACTGGCCCCTCCTTTACCTTTTAAGCCTAAATAAATGCATTATGGTGGAGTTGGGATAGGTGAGCAGTTATCATGAGGAGCTGGTGTGATATCAGTACTATATAAAGTGAACGTAGATTCAACCTGAAGCAATCAATAGACTCACCCTTCCCTCCTAAGTTCCTGGAGCCAGGGAAGCACTTGGGAAAGTATATGCAGTTATCAGGGTCCCTTGATGAACTGCATCATGCATCAGTCTGTGAATTAGATACTTATTTCAAATTTAACCTCATGAGTTACATAATAGGTAATACACCATCTATTACATAACTGTTATTACACAGCAGATACAGATACATCTATACAACATTCCTGTAAGCTAAAAGGGTAAGAATTGTTTGTAAATTGCTTTCATGACATTTTTATGCCTCTAAAGTCTGATTAATTAATAAGTCCACATTTTTATAAGTTCAAGAAACATAAATGTTGTCAAAGCATATAATATTTTCAAAAATTTTATCGAGAGAAATATTCCCTAAAAATTTATGAGATTAACATTTTTTTTAAAAAGCAGTAATCAAGACTTTTGCTACTATCTCTACCACATTGTTGTTTGTAACTTGTAAGTATCCTCCGTTTGTGTTTCACCAAGTTCTGTCTTCAGGCTGTGAACTTGGTGGCAGGGGCAGTACTGAATTAAATTTTCTGATTTGCACCTCACCCAGAATAAACCAGCAGTGGTTTTTTTTAGAATAAACCAACAACGAAGGGAATGCTTTCTATTCAAATCGGTAGTCTTTCTGTTCTCTTGCCGAAGAGCTCTTTCATGCACCATTTTGTGCTTATCCCCTTTGAAAACCATGTGGTGTGTGGGGATGATGGGAACTGTAAGACACTAAGTCTCGGGAGCACAGATGGAAATGTAACAGGACACCAGTGGGGAGTTAATTGTGTGGCATCTGGCACTGGGACCTAGCAGAGGCAAACAAGCCATCTCACCACTGTCTTTTGACAAGATAGGGTTGCCCCCTGTAGACAAAGGTGGAGAATGGAGTCCCTCATTCTTATACCTGCTAAAAATGATTCATTGTTAGTAGCTGCTAAGGACAGAAGGGACCTCAATGACCCAGTACATCTAGGACAGAAAAAAAAAATGTAACATCCTTTCCAGATCCCCAGATGCCACAAACAAAATGGGAATTTTTCCACTGTTACATCAAAATGGGGTTATATAATAAATGTCCTTTTGGTTTTCTTGCCTTTTCTTTGTTTTCTTCTTCTTCCTTTTTTTTTTTAGACTTTTCTATCTCAGATTGTAGTTTTAATAGAAGACAACTACCACTAAATCTCTCTCTTCCTGAGTTCTATCCCTGGTTCAGGTGGAGGTCACTTTGCCCGGAGAAAAGATTGATTTCTCTTAGGAGAAGGCTCAAAGAAACAATATCAGCTCTTACATTCTCATTCATCATAAAAACAAAGACTGAAGTAAAAAATTTGCTGATATGTTTAGGGGAGACAAAGACCAGCTGGGGCTGGGAAACTGAAATCAGAATAGTTTTGATACACTAGTTAACATATGGAAAAGCAGAGTTTTCTGGAAATAGGACTTGGGCACCCTCATGGGATTGTTTCAAGTCAAAGTGTTTTCTGACAAGTGAGCATGGCTGTCTTGAGAGCCAGCATGTACTGTCAGAGAAGGGAAGCTGGGAATTGGGAGATGTGAAATTTGCTGGTTCAAACTATCAGCTCCATATATCAACTGTTGTCCAGAATGAAAGGAGCAACTGACAAAGCAATCCTTCTTTGGCCCTGAACTTTGATTGACTGGTTGATCAAGTTGGGAGCAAAAATTTGCTGCCACTGGGGCAGAAAGGCAAACCTGAAGTCCCAAACAAGATTTTGTTTAGGACTCTTAAAGGTTACTAAGGTACAGAAGGAGATTTCTTTTTCTATTGTTTTCCCACCTAGTGGAAAAAACATTTATTTAGAAACCATGAGATTTGGATTCTAATTCCAGTATCATCATTTAATTGTGTGATTATGAAATAATGATGTAATGTCCCTGGGCTTTCTTGTGGATAAAAGGAGTAGATTGGCTTAGATCAACATTGAGGTCCTTCCAGTTGTAGAATGCGATCATTCTAATTTTTGCATCAGATTCATCACAGGAATTAGAAAATACAGATTAAATCAAAATTGGACTCCCCATTTGTTATACTATGCAACATTCTCAGATATCTGAGGCAACATCATCTGGGTAAGAACAATGTTTGTTGTTGTTTTTCAAACAATTGGATAAATAAGTTTTTATGGAGTAGGTGAAAAATAAATTCCTAGCTTCAGCAACTTAATAGCTAAGTGCTTATGAGTTGAAGATGAAAACAAGGGAAGATGAATAGCTTTTTGCTCCGACTCTGGCATTTATGACTTGCTAGGTTGGCAAACTGAGCATATCCTGAGTTAAAGTGAATCAAGAGTGACTGGCTCATACCTTCTATAGCAAATGGCTTCCCCACGGTTAGAAGTTTGCAGTCAGCATCTATTGACACTTCATAATCCAGAAGGGCTTTGTCCATGATGAAGGCGTCTAGTTTCTCTGGATCATTCCTATATTTAAGACCAAGAGAAGAAAAGAGAAAAATGATTCATTAAATAGACAGAAGTTGGACAGCTGGCTTTTGTTTAGGGGATAGAAACCTGGAAAGAAAGGGCAGCCCAAGCTAGGTAGCTGCTGAGTCAGCCTTTTTGACATCTCACTGACCCATGGAGACCAGACCAGGGGAAACAGACACTCTTCTAAGACAGCATGACATCTTTCCAATGAGTTTATCTACCAATTCCTTTTATTACTTCCAAAGCCAACAATAAAGCCAGAGTGACTGAATTGAATGGGAAGGTTCATTTCTCTTACATTGACTGAGTGACTCGTTTGTGCGAGGCACAGTATTGATTGTTCTCCACAGACTGTATCACTCATAATGGCTGTGAGGTGGGTGGTATTGGTATTATCCCATTTTAGCAGATGAGGAAATTGAGGCTTCAAGAGTCAAAGTAACTGGATCCAGGTTACATAGCTAGTAAGTGTTGGAGTCACGTGATCTCATTAATCAATATGTGGAAATTTTTATTTTTCATATTCTTCAGTGATCAGGTATCATTTCATATTTAGGAATACATAGTAAGGAAATACAAATATGAGATCTAGCAGTCCTGGGGAAAAGGGCGTTGAGAGGTCTCTTTAAAGTCCATGGGCTAGCATTCATTACCTGGAGGGGGAAGCACAGGCAATAGATCTTAGTGATCTGCTCTATTAATATATCGCCAGAGATTCATGTTTCACTCCCATCCTAGGAGGTGATTCAGGCATTCATTTAAGGTAGGTGTCCCTGACTTGTTATCAGTGAATCAGATGTGGACTGGGCTCAAGATGCCAACAGATGCCTTGTGCAACCTTCATGTGTTGTCCCCATTTTTTAAATGTAGGCACAGAAACGGTCCAGAGGGAGGTATGTCTCAGCACTGGCAGAGCTCCCAATTACAAAGGGGGCAAGGAAGGGGGCATTTTAAAAGGAACCTTAAAGGTGTATGCGATGACTCTTGTTTTCAGCCACCTCAAATCCTTTTTGGAAAGGTGTAGGACATATAGCCATTTAAGAAAGGCTTTCTGACCTCAGGACTGTCCAAACATCTTGGCAAAGAGAACAACTCTTCTTTGTTCCTTCTAGAATCAGTCATTCCTCTCTCAGAGCAAAAAATGAGTTTATTGGAATTCATAGAGTGGAGTGGCCTTAAACTCAGAATAGAACAAAGCTAGGGCCCATCAAAAATCTAAAAAAGAAAGACACACTTAGACATCTCATCATCAGTCCGAAGGAAGTACATATTTACATGGATGGCTTTGTCTGGGCCATACATGGACACAGAGTAAATAGGCCAACTTCTTTTTTCTTGTTGCCAGTGACCATTGCTTCCTCTTTCTACCCTTCCAACCTATTCAAAATGCATTCCCTTTTCCAGGGGTATTGGATGGAAGTCTTAATGAGATCTGTGTTTAACTTTAACCAAAATAAAAAAACATCTTCCAGCTCCACAGCTGTGGGAAGCTTCAGAAAGGGTTGAGGATGTGAACTGTCTCCTAGGAGCTGATGATGAGGAAGCTTAATGGAATCCTGGCAATAAAATAAAAATCAAGCTGAAAGATGTTTCTCCAATAAAAGTTTTACTGCCACAGTAACAAAATGTACCTTGGGAGCTACACAGCAACTAGTGACCATTTACCAGTACTCCGCAAATATTTGAGGTAGCAATGGCGATAGAAAAAATTGGGGTTCAGTTTTTCTAAGCAATAATTACTGAGGTCCAGTTTCAGTGGTATCCTTAAATAATCACTCCTGATTTTGGATTGCAAAGTGAAGTTAGTTATGACAGGTCTCTCTTGCACAGGAAGGCAAGAAGCAATTAGCTCACAGACTCCCATGGGGCCCTGAATCACTGGTGAGGAAGTGGATGGGTGTGATCCAGGTATAAGCAGCTTCTAGACGAGTTGAATCATCCTTCCAGTTGGCAGGTTCCCCAGTTGTTTCTCCCATTATGGAATCATGCTCTGCCTTTTTGAGAATTCATTTAATCATACATATGCCACAAAATAATACATATGCCACCATAATACATATGCTCGTAAGTGACTCTGGAGATGTGTTCTGCAGTTTAGGGCTCTGGGATGTCAGGGGGATAATATGAGGACTGTGGTTCTTTGGAGTGGTGGCTAAGAGCATAGGCAGTGACTGGGACCAAACATGGAGAGAGAAGACCAAAGACAAGAAGTCAGAGGGCATGAATGGTAAGTTCTGCCTATATTCCAATGTCACCTCCACCAGCGAATCAATTGGAGAGCTTGTTAATATGCAGTCTCCGGGATGGGGCCTGGCAGTCTGCATTTCTCACAAACTCCCAAGTGCTAACGGGAACATGGATCTGCTGGAACATAGACTATTCTTTGAACATCAAAGATCTACTTTTCTGTTATGGTTCCTAGACTGTCCTGCAACAGCAAATGGATTCTAGAGACCTGGTTCTAGTCCTGACTCTGCCATTTGCTGGCTATATTACTGTGGACAAGTTGCTTCTTTAAGGTCTCAGCTTCTTCACTGGTGCCTGCTTTTCTAATGACTCCATCTCTCCAGGCTAGAGTGGGGACAACTCGGAGTATTGGACCCTTCTCAGGTGAAGCCTCCAGAATAAATGAATACCCTGAGTGGAGTGGAATCGGGGACTAACACAGTAGTGGTGCATCTCACTCTTTTCACACTGCCAGAAAAGCTCGGTTTGTCAGCGATTACTATCTAGCGGGGAGCCATTGCCATCCCCCTGACATCTTCTTCTCTCTCTCAGCCATGAATCTGACTGAAGGAGAGAATACAGAAGAGGAGCTGGAAGGCAAAGGAGCACTCAACTCTGTTAGAGAAGGACTCTAACATTTTAATGTTCTTGCAAAACCAAAAGTGCCATTTCATAGTGCAAAAGTAGCATTTCATCCTACATAACTTTGCAAATCTGAGAGCACAAGCCTTCCTCTCTAGACTCTATAAAAGTCCATCAGGAGTATTGTTAGGGTCCTGTCACCAGAGCTCTTCAGAAACATATTAGCTCTTATGTCTCATACAATTATTTATTTGTTTCCCTTCTCCCCTAAAAGAGAATTTGAGGTGGCAAGTCCTTCTGCCCACTGGGAAGATTACTGTGGTTGGCCATAGATATTACCAGTTTCCTGGGGCTGCATGAGTTTAGGGACTGGGGGCTTGGACGTATGTCATTGTCCTGGGACTATCAGGCACAAGGGAGAGGACTGCTCACCCTCACACTGTGGTGTGGTGCTTATCAGGAGCCATTCATTCCCTTCTCCCAGGTGGACTAGATGAGCAGGTCCATAACTGCACCACCCTCCTTTGCACTCAGCTTCGCTGAATTACAGGCTCTGATAATCTGCCATGGCAATGTGATTGCTCTTGATTGCTTCTCATAAATTCTGATGAGAAGGATGCAGGCATGGGAATCATTGCCTTTTATCTTATTTCCTTTCTACAGGAAATCTCTAAGATAAATTCCACTTCCTTGTGGCAAGAGGAGACAGTCCATGGGCTTAGAGATTCACTGTGAAGGAAAGGGCTGCTTTGGAACACTTTATCCTTCAGCCACATTCCCTGAGTGTTTGATCATTTCAGCACCATTGTTTTCTCAAGTGATGTCAAGCCCACATTTACTTCCCCCACCATCTGCTACACTAATGCCCCCACTGGCACTTTGAGCAAAGCTACTGCCAACTGGGGACGATGCAGGTAACAAGTAATCTAGGTCACATAATTAAATGCACACTATTCCATACTGCCTTCTCGCTCACACAGTGTGAGGTATTACTCAACACACAGTGAGTATACTTAGCTGTCATTTTAAAAAACCAACAAATACAGTAGCTAAGACTTCTCTCTCGGTGAGAACTTTCTGGACCCAAGAGGTTGACACTCACTTCAGATACTCCACTCCATCAGGGGTGGCTGGTACATTGTACCTTCTCATATACTCATGCATCTCTGGGAAGCTTTGTCTCACATAATCTTCAGCACTGCTTTCCCGGACAGTTCCAAAGCGGAAGCCTTGAGAGGGATGATGTAGCTATGAGGGAGAAAGAAATGTCTTTAATACAAATTATTCTTAGGATTGTTTTCCAAAAATTACCTCTTCCATCACTCTTTGGAATCAATTAGCGATTTAGAACTTTTCAAACACACAGCGTCATGACCACGTACACAGAAATGTGCAGACATAGACATGCTCTTTCATACCCCAGTTTTCACAGAAGTAATTGTTCCATCTTCAGAAGCATATGTATGGAAACAACAAACAGAAAACATAAAACAGTTTTCTGCTTTATGCTGAGAACTTATCAGAATTCTTTAGACACTGTATAAGTTGGCATGCAGAACCAGCCTCATTATTATAAATTGCATATTGGAGAAAGTAGAAAGATAATAAATTAAAGGTTGTACTTCTCCTTGGTTAGAACTACACAAAGACCAAGTTAAAACCCTGTATCTTGAGACTGAAACACATCTGACCCAAAGTAGTGAATACATCTCTTTTATGTTTATCCATTTTATGCTATATTTTAAGTTTGTTGAATTTATTTTTGGTATAATTATGAAATGATCTCTTTCCTTTAGATAATTGTAACTGTATTTTCCAGTGCTGAGTCATGCTACATATTTGCCCAAATGGAATGGGATATAAGGCACTTAGGAGCCACAGAGGAGAAGGGCACCGGGGTAGACCCACTACTATAGTTCTCCAGGGTATAGGACCTTGCAGTGAGAAGTAGCACAGGTGCTCTGCAGAGCCTTTCTGTCACTAAAGGATAATAAAGATACAGCACATGCAACATTATTATTTGTGAAAGGTGTACAGAAGTGTTAATGTAGCATCTAGACTTAACATTATTTCCAATATAAGAATGAATTGGGATTGGGCCCTGTTATAAAGAGAGTTGAATATCCTGTAGTCAGGAGTATTTTAGAGAGGCTACTTCTCCACAATTGTCACATTAGATTTCCTGCACTTCTTTGTTCTGCTTCATGTTAACAGATTTGATGTCATTGCTTCTGACCTGAAGTCCTGGGACAGGAATCCACGGATGGGCTTTGTGAAGTTTATAAAGCTCCTGAAACTGTAGGCAGCAATTTTATGTAACTATGTTTGTAATTGTCTTCTATGAGGAAAATAGTACAGTTTCATTTTTTAATAATTAGGTTTTCAAGTTGTTCACAACCCCAAAAGGTGAAGAACTTGCTAAATATGGTAACAACTTATATTTAAGATGAATTAGTTTTGTCACATGCTAAAAATCTAACAATATGGCAATAAGTTGATAATAATTAATAAATAAATTACATGGCACATCCTTATAGAATATTATGCAATGTCTAAATCATGTTTTGAAGCATATTTAATAAAACAAGGCAAATGTTCGTATGATAAATGGAGAAAAAGCTTTTGTATGTTGTGATCAAATTAAATATCTATATAGTTACTTTAAATGTTATGATCCCCAACATATATGTCACACACACACACACCCACACACACACACACACACACCCACCCCTTGGAAGAAGATGTATCAAGATATTAACAATGACTGTCCCATTTGTGGTGAAATGACAGTTGTACTTATTTATTTACAGAAACATGTCTCATGTTTATAAATAGAAAAAAGTTTATTTTATGAACAGCAAAGCAAATCCCTCACTAATTTATCCAACATTTATTGAGGGCTTACTTTGTACAACTTTCAAAGTTACTGGGGCCACAAAGGTAAATTCCCTGCAATCATTGCCACATAGGAACTCACTACCTGGTTGTCTATGAAGTATTTTGGAGATCCCACGGTTGAGTAGGTGATTAGGCATACCCTTGTGTTTAATGTAATTGTTCCATACACTGAATAAATTCTAATGTTCTGTGCCAGCAATGAGGCATCAACAATAATAACAATAGCTAACATTTACTGAATATTTATTATGTGCCAGACATGGTATTTAGTGCTTTACATGCATTATCTTGTTTATTCCTCATAATAGCTTCATGAAGAGGACACTGTTATTACTTCCTTTTTAAAGATTAGTGAACTGAAGCTCAGAGAAGTAAAGTAACTGGCATAAGATCACACAGAAGTAGCAGAGACTGAATTAGAACTGAAGTCTATCTGATTCCAAAACTCATGTTATTATCAACCACATCACCCTGCCTTGCAGCTCTTGGAAGCAACTGGAGAGAAGATGTTTATTAGAATAAACTCATTAGTTTTTTAAAATATTCACCTTATGCCTTAGGCCCCCCTTAGCATTCTCACAGTAGCAAATTTCAGCCCACACAAATCTAACAGCATTCTGTCTGCCCAACACCTACTCATTTTTTTTTTTAAAGATTTTATTTATTTATTTGACAGAGAGAGACACAGCAAGAGAGGGAAGTGGGAGAGGGAGAAGGGGGAGTGGGAGAGGGAGAAGCAGCCTTCCCGCCGAGCAGGGAGCCCAATGCGGGGCTCGATCCCAGGACCCTGGGATCATGACCTGAGCCGAAGGCAGACGTTTAATGACTGAGCCACCCAGGCGCCCCAACACCTACTCATCTTTTAAGGCCAAGATCAAGACTTGGTCTTTGAAATCTCTGGTCTTATCTCGCTTCACTCTCCTATCTTGAATTAAAAAAAAAACCAGTTTACTGCTTATTTATTGTGCTGGTACAGTACCTTGCATGTACATAATATGTCGTCTAGCTATTGATGTAACCATATTTCACACTTTTCATGCATTACCTCTTTGATCCTCCCAAGAAACTTAGGAGGTATTTCTATTATCTTCCTTTTATAGATGAAGAAACTAAAGATCAGAAAGTTTGTCATCTGCCCAAAGTTATAGAGCTAGTAAATGGTGGACCTGGGATCTGAACCCAGGCAGTCTGATGGAAAATAGTGAATTTTTGAACACTGTGGACATCACTTGTGATACTATGTCATACTGACTCTTGGTATGGTCATTATAAAACTTGCTACTTATGTGTCTGGCAGTGAGCTAAGGGCCTTAAATGTTTTTAATTCTCACAATAATCCTGCAAGATAGATATTTTCATGTTTTACAGAGTAAGATGCTGAGGTTTGGGCAGTTAAAGTGACAAATTCTCACAGTTAGTAATTAGCAAGACTCAAGCCCATGTTCTTTTCCCTAACATGCAGACTGAATTATTTATTTGCATATCACAGAGACATATATGACTCTTGGCACCTGCCAGGTGTGCTATATGTGTTTGCCAAATTAACTCATTTTACCACTTGTCTTATTCTCTCTCCACCCACCTGACTTCTCTCAGTTCATTCAGCACTCCCCTAACTTGCTGTCTGTGCGGCACCCTCCTTCCATAAGCCTTCACAGTACACATAATTTTCTTTGCTAGAACCTATCATAGTTGCACTTGTTAAATTTTTTTTTTTAAGAGAGAGAGAGAGAGCGCTTGTATGAGTTGGGCAGGAGGGGCAGAGGGAGAGGGAGAGAGAGAGCCTCAAGCAGGCTCCATGCCCAGTACAGAGCCTGATGCGGGGCTCGATCTCATGACCCTGAGAGATCATGACCTGAGCCACAACCACGAGTCAGATGCACTTAACTGACTGAGCCACACAGGTGCCCCTGCACTTCTTAAATTTAATTGTGTAACAGCTTAATGTCTAGACTTTCAGCTTCTTCACTGGACTGGAAGCTGTGTGTGATGAACATGTGATGAACGACTGTATTCCAATGCCTTTTATCATGTAGTTGTTCAATTAAAATGCTTTACAAATGACCGATAACTATTCTTTGAACCCAGAGGGAAGTGAGGGCTTTGTCATCCCACTTAGCACAAAAGGAGCCAACAATTTAGCTTACAGCTCCGGCTTTTGAAATGAACCCTCCTTTTAGGGTATAGGGATCTTAGACCGGTAATTAAAATACTTTTGTCTTATATATGAAAAGAACCCCTTTTAGAAGTCCATTTCCTCAGGGCACCTGGGGGGGCTCAGTCCGTTGAGTGGCCAGCTCTTGATTTCAGCTCAGGTCATGACCTCAGGGTCCTGGGATTGAGCCCCGCATCAGGCTCAGCAGGGAGCCTGCTTGAGGATCCTCTCTCTCTCTCCCCCTGCCCCTCCCCTCGCTCATGCTCTCTCTCTCTCAAATAAATAAATAAATCTTAAAAAAAAAAAAGAAGCCCATTTTCTCACATTATTCTGGGACAATACTTTTTTGGCCCTTGAACTATTTCTAGGCAAACCCTGACCCTCCTTTCTCTGCTGAGTGCATTAGTACTTCATTCCTTCCCATGTCATGGGATGGAGTCATGAACCAGCAGATCCAGGCTCATATTCCAGTGGAGAACTAGCCCTTTGTATTTCTTCTTTTCCATGCCTTTCAGTTTGCCTTTTGCTCATGGGCAAGGCTCTGATGCCTGTGAAGGGAACAGTTTTGAGGTTTTGAGAAGGGAAATTTCCTTCAACACTAACACAAATAACCAAACTCCAATGGGAAGAAGTATTTTTTTAGCCTGGACAGAGACCCCACTTTACCTTGGAGATGTTTTACAAACACTGCCAACCTCTTTGGTCCAAGTCACCATCATTTCTGCCCTCTGCATACTTCTTCTCTTCCCCTCTAGTCCAGTCAGAGTAATCTTGGAGCCCAAAGCTAATCATTCATTCATTTGCTTAACACCTATCAGTGGCTCCCCATTGGCCTTGGGATAAATGTGGCCCCCTCGTGGGAACTCCATGATTCAGCATGACCTTGCTCTGCTTTCTTCTGTCCAGCTTCATCTCCCCACTCTCCTCCTGGTCCTCCAAGCTTTAGCCGTTCTCTCAGTTCTTCCAACATATACTTTTTGCTTGACCAGAGCTCTTGCCCATAGTCTTCACTCTGCCTGGGAGCTCTTTCTCCTCAACCCCACCTTTCTTTTGTGTAGCTAACTCTTAAATACTGCTTTACCAGAGAAGCTTTCACTGACCCCTAGACTAGATTAGGCCACCTGACACACTCTCCCATTATGCCCTGCCATAGTATTGATAAAACTTGGAATTATTTGTGCAATGTCTGCTT